ACACACACACACACACACACACACACACACACACACACACACACACAGCAAACCCTTTCATAAGGCCCTTATATCCACTGGCAGTCCCCATTCACATCATGATCTCCATGTGTACTGCCAAAGTCAATTATGTTTTAAAGCCTTTGATGGATGTTATGGGGCAAAGTTATGTTTTAAACAGAAGCTACAGCCAAATCTGTGGTAAAACCACTATTTCCAGTGAAATATTGTATAACACCATTTGGAACTACTAAAAGACAGAGGCTTTTCTATAGGAATCTTCTCTATTACATATTTTTTTGCGTGTTAACCATAGAAACTAAGCATCAGAATTCATAAGCAAGAATACATGATGTTTTCTTTTGCTCTAAAATACTGGAATTTTCAGAAGCAGCTTTAAAAAGAAATTTGAATCACTTTTTTGATAGCACATTTGGTGATTATGATGTTGGAATTTAACAGAACTATCAAATCCACAGTTCTCAAATCAAGATGTTTAAATTTTAAGTTCCTTTTTTCACTAAGTATGAGTGAATACATTCATGTGTAGAATATGTTTGCCAAATGTGGACAATTTAAATGCCCAATACATATTCTAAAATTATTTCTCTAAGTATGGTACCTTAAAAAGGTGTTTATATACTGTTTATTAACTTGGACACAGACAGTTTGGCTCTCATGTGAGTATACCAGAAGCATTTAAAAACATACGAAATGTTTTGCTTTCATACTTCAATAGTTTGTATGTTTGTGTGTTTTTATTTTTATTTCTAAATTTACCATGTGCTTTATTGTTTGTTTGTTTTAAAATGTTATTCATACCTGTTCTATTTTTATCATTTCCCTTATCATTAGAAAGTTGGACAAAATACTTCTTCCCAGAATAGATGTTTCAAAGGGATCCAGTAAAGTTGGACTTTTGAATATACTTGTTTAATAAATAACTTTTTAAATTGATCATTCTGCCTTTGTATTTTCTTATATCTTTTGTTGCCTTTCTCTTTGTGTGTGTATGTAATACACCTGTTCACAAAGTTTGAGGAGAGCTTTGTGGATAAGCAGGATTTGAGCTGGCCCTGTTAGGAAGAGTGATTTCAGTAGGCAGATGGGGTAAAGTTCTCTCAGCAGAAGAAACAGTATTTTCAAAAGTATGGAGGAAAGCAAGGACATAGTCAGGAATTGTAAAGCAGTGCAGTTGGCCGAGAGTGTAAGTGCAAAGGGTGTGTGATCAGACGTTGAAGAGCCTAAATGGCAGTTGTTTAAATATTCCTATTAACTGAGTGTTGGCCAACTGAAATTATTTCTGGAAAAAGGAATATTTTTTATTACAGTGTTTAGTGATACCATCTATAGAATTCTCAACTTTGAAAATAGTAAGGATAAATTTCAAAATAATTATGTATTGTCTGAAGACAGTGACGAATAATAGCTACCTACATAATTTAAGCACCTCTTGTATATCAAGCATTGTACTAGGAACTGTATGGTATGCATGGTATTTCTAAATTGGATATTTATATTGGATGTTTCTTACGAGGAACATTTTTTTATGGGGAGCTTTCAGTTATTTAAGTTGCTGCATAGAAGTAAACAACGAAAAATATTCATATTTTTGTAGATAACTACACATAAGTAATACAAGCTCTAGTGTTAGTTTTCTCAGTCTCCTCCCCCAGAGGTAGTCACTGTTGCCAGTATTACATGTTTAGATCTAGTCTATACATATATCTATACAGTGTATGCATTTTTTTAACAAATGATACTTGCAGAAATTTTTTATTTTTGTATAGTTTTATGTAGTTTTTTTAATAGTCATTTCTGACTACCACATTTTGTGTCATACCAACAAAGGTTTTTCTTATTCCATGATTGTAAAATAATTCTGCCATTTTTTTTCTATTGGTTTTAAAGTTTTATGTTTCAGATTTATATCCTTTATCTAACTAGAATCCATCTGGAATTTATTTTGATAGAAGGTAGGAGGTAAGGATCCAACGTTATTTTTCCTTCCAAGATGCTACCTAATGTGTTTAAAACTCCATCTTTTCTCTCTTGACTGCAAGTGTTCTATACTAAATTCCCTTATATATTTGGGTTCATTTCTGGACTTTGTTGTCGGTTTCATGGATCTGCCTACTCATCTGCCAGCACCACACTGTTTAGATTATTTTAGCACTGTGGTATGTTTTGATATGGTAGAGCTAGTTTCTCCTCGTTACTTTTCTCTTACAGAACTTTTTGACTATTCTTGTGGGTTATATTCTTTTTCTGGCACACTTATTCATATACAGTAGAACTTATTCTTTGTGATGTACATTTCTCTGGATTTTGGCAAATTCTTGAACTTGTGTATCCAACCAGCACAGTCCATCACTCCAAAACTCCCTCATGTTGCTCTTTTGTAGTCAACTCCCCCAACACCCAACCCCTGGCTTCCACTAATTGATTTTCCACTCCTGTTATTTTGCCATTTTTTGTGGATTTATCTTTCTATATTAATATTAGAATCAATCTTTCTAGCCTTTCTCTGAAATTGTATCTGTAGGTTGATATTGGCTGTGTGTTAAGTCAGGAGTTAACTTAGAATTAATATCTTGGTGTTGATTATTCTTATTAGGGATGTCAGTATAACTATTAATATAATATTTCTTTTTAGTTTTATAAAGTAGCTTATTTTTTTTTCATTTAGTATTCTATAAATGATGTCTTTTCATTATAAGGTTATATAGTCCTTTATGCTAATTTTGTGCTTTTGTTACTGTATTCATCAATTCCAGAGAAACGTAATATATATTTGTTAAAAAGTATTGACTCAGATGATTATGGAAGCTGAGAAGTTCTACAATCTGTTACCTGCAAGCTAGAGACCCAGGAAAGCTAGTGGTGTAGTCCAAAGGCCTGAGAGCAACAGAGTCCGCAGTGTAGAGTCCAGTCCAGTCTGAAGGCCTAAGAACCAAGACTGCGAGGGCAGAGGAAGATCAGCGTCCCAGCCTTCATACAGTCAGGCAGAGAGGGGATTTAACCTTCCTCCACCTTTTTGTTCTGTTCAGGCCCTCAGCGATTGGACGATTGCTCACCCACGTCGGGAAGGGCCTTCTGCTTTACTTAGTCCAGCAATTCAAATGCTAATCTCTTCCTGAAACACCCTCCAGACACAACCAGAAATGATGTTTAACCAGCTATTCCCACATCTCTTGACCTAGTCAAGTTGACGTGTAAAATTAACCATCACAGCCACGTTACTAAATTCTCAATAGTTTAAATGCGTTTCTTGGGTTTTACTTGAAAATAATCACATCTATAAATGATGGGTAATTTTTATTTATTTATTTATTTTTTACGGTACACAGGCCTCTCACTGTTGTGGCCTCTCCCGTTGCAGAGCACAGGCTCCGGATGCACAGGCTCAGCAGCCATGGCTCACGGGCCCAGCCACTCCGCGGCATGTGGGATCTTCCCGGACCAGGGCACGAACCCGTGTCCCCTGCCTCGGCAGGCGGACTCTCAACCACTGCGCCACCAGGGAAGCCGAAATGATGGGTAATTTTATTACCTCTTTTCTAAGGTTTGTGCATTTCATTTTCCGATTTCTTCTTTTGTCTGACTTCTTTTTCTTGCTAAGTTTGCCTGAGAGCTGCAGGGATGGGCATCTTTCCTCAACATCTTCACTCTGCATTTGATAGCCCTTCCTCATGTGTTGTGGGTTTGCATTTCTAATTTCTTAGAAGTCGAAGTTTACAATTTTTGTTTCATGTTCTTATTTCTTTTGGATGATTCTTAAGGAGGAAATGGAAAAGCTACTTTACTACACAAGCCTTGTAAACTCCTTAAAAAGACATTTTGATAAAAATTATTGAAATCCTTGTCTGGTAAATAGCTGGAAAGCTTCTTAGTTTTCCCATCCTCTTCTCCTGACTCATTTCTTCTGTTTCCAACTTACTGTAAATAAATGCAACTCTTCATGTCAAATGTGCTCCAGCCCAAGCCCCAAGCGCTTGAGGACTGGACTGGACTTACTGACTCACTTCTAAAGAATAGAGTATGGAAAGGGGACAATAGTAGCTTTACAGCAAAGAAAGGTGTTAGGACACTGCCTTAACCAAGTGATCATGGTAAACATCACCAGTGATAAGTCATGTCCACATCATGTTCTGATGTGATGAGAAGGGTACCTCTATAGATATACTTCTCTGTGGGTATAAAAGCCCACAATCCTAGTCTACCCAGTCTAATCGTGAGGGAAAAAAATCAGACAAACCCAAACTGAGGGACACACAACAAAATACCTGATTATTATTCCTCAGAACGATTGGAGTTCTGAAAAACAATTATGTGAGAGACTGTCACAGATCAGAGAAGACTAAGGAGGTATGACAAGAGTATAATGGGTTTTCCTGGATTGGATCCTGCAACAGAAAAAGGACATTAGTGAAAAAGCTAGTGAAATCTAAATACATTCTGGAGTTTTGTTAATGTACCAATGATGATTTCTTAGCTTTGACCAATGTTTGGTGGTAACGTAGAATGCTAACAATAGGGGTAACCGGATGAAGGATAGATAGGAATACTTGCTAAGAGGGAAAATTTACTAATGCAGTTGTAATCCTTCTAAGCTATGAGTGTATTTTGATCATTTCTGTAACCTTATTTACTTCATGAAGAGATATAAAAATTCATTTTCCTCACCTCATGATTTTAGAAGAAAATGTATGTATTTAATGGAGGAATATTTGAAGAGAGGTCAAAGGATAAAGACCCGAAGGTTGAAAATTGTGAAACTTAGGAGGAGAAATATTAAAAAAATAATTTTTTCTAAAGAAGAGAAGAAAAGGCTGAGGAGCTTTAAAAAAAAAAAGAATTTTAAAGTTTCCAATTAAGATGCTGTAAGAAAATGAGGACTTTCTGATTCTGAGTCTCAGTTCCAAGAATTCTTGTAGTAAAGAAACATGTTTAACACAACATTTTCCCAAACTTACTGGACTGTGGACCTTTTTCCTGTTAGAATTTTTGAAAATTCTATTCCATAGGTATGATTTTCAGTGTTACCCTGATATTTATACTGTGTTGACTATTTTATCACCAAAACAGGGATTTCTCAACCAACTATTCTAGAAAATTTATTGTCATTGAATAACCAGGCTTTACTTAAAAATATCCTTACTGTTTAATAAAACAAAACCTAATTATTGAGATCCTTCTTTGTTTATCACACTGGTGGAGTACTGTGACTTTTAAAGTTTCTTGGCAAACAGTGGTCTATATTTTTTATTTTTTATTAAAAAAATTTTTATTGAAGTATAGTTGATTTACAATATTGTATAAATTTCAGGTGTACACAGCACAGCAATTCAGTTATACATATATATAAGTATATATTTTTTCAGATTCTTTTCCCTTCAGGTTGTTACAAAATATTGAGTATAGGTCCCTGTGCTCTATAGTAGGTCCTTGTTGGTTACCTATTTTATACATAGTAGTGTGTATATGTTAAGCCCAGCCTTCTAATTTATTTCCCACCCCCCTTTCCTCTTTGGTAACCATAAGTTTGTTTTCTGTGTCTGTGAGTCTCTTTCTGGAAATAAGTTCATTTGTGTCTTTTTTTTTTTACATTCCACATAACGATATGATATTTGTCTTTCTCTGTCTGGCTCACTTCACTTAGTATGATAATCTCTAGGTCCATCCATGTTGCTGCAAATGGCATTATTTCATTCTTATTTTTTTAATTTTTTAACTTAATAATTATCTATGTCACTTAAGCACAATAATTGAATGACTATACACACCACATTTATTTATTTTTTTGCTAAAATAAATGTATTTCCTCTGGTTTAGCCCAGTGATCTCCAAATATTTTTGTTATTCACTCCATTAGTTTAAAAAGAAATTAAGTGCGTATATCAGATGTACGTACATTTGTTTATAAGTATGTAGTAATACATAACAGTTCAGTCTGGGTGGTGGTTTTTTTCTTTAATGCATGCTGACAAGCTTTGTCTTTTCAATAGTGTATTCATATCATTCACATTTAAAGTAATTATATAGTTTATAGCTGTATTAATATCTACCATATTCATTATAAAAAGTATACAAGAGGGGCTTCCCTGGTGGTGCAGTGGTTGAGAGTCCGCCTGCCGATGCAGGGGACAAGGGTTCGCTCCCCGGTGCAGGAGGATCCCACATGCCACGGAGCGGCTGGGCTCGTGAGCCATGGCCGCTGAGCCTGCGCGTCCGGAGCCTGTGCTCCAGAACGGGAGAGGCCACAACAGTGAGAGGCCCCCGTACCGTTAAAAAAAAAAAAAAGTATACAAGAAAGCATCAGATAAAGATGAAATAAATTTTTTGTATATGTCCTGAAATTTGTCATAGCCTTGTACTAACTACTTAATATCTCAAAGCCCAGTATAAACTTTGTTCAAGTTTCATTAGTAACATGTATTTGTCCCTCCATCTTTCAAATTAATAATTTATTTTTTTCTTCTCTGATTTGATTAGGAGATAATAAAAAAACTTTCTATGTACTATGCACTAGTCTAAGTACTTTTTATGCATTAACTAATTTAATCTTAACAACAACCACATGAGATAGGCGTTGTGATTATGATAAAGAAATTGAGGCGTAGAAACGTTAAGCCAAAAGTCACACCTTGTGAGGGAAAGCATTTGGACTCAAACCTAAGAGTTGTTATCTCTTACACTAGCACTGTCCATGTAGTAGCCACTAGCCACATGTGGCTATTTAAATTTAAATTATATTTGAAAAATAAAAATGTAGTTCCTCAGTTGCACTAGCTGCATTTCAACTGTTCAATAACCATATGTTAGTGACTACCATGTTGGACAGCGCCCATCAAGAGCATTTCCATCATCGCAATAAGTTGTATTGGACAGCACTGACTTACACGATCGGTCACCATGTTTTTATCTTGCAGCGTGGCTTTGGAAGAGCTCATGCTATGAAACAAGCATGGGCGTAGCTCTTTTTCAGTTGTTTGTCTGTGCTTATATGATTGGTATTGTCTTCAATCCAGTGTGTTTTTTTTTTTTTATAGGAATCTTTGCAAGACAGTTGTCTACTTTGTTGTGTTTGGTTTAGTTAAACCTAGAGGATATAACCCATAAGTCCATTTAACTGGGCACATATAAACTGCAATATGTCAAAATACAGGAACGAGCGAGGATACCACTGTCCCCAACCCCTTGCTGTTGTGAAATACCTCACATATTGTCTGACACAGGATTCAAGTGAGAATCTCAATGTCATTTGTATGTAGATAGATCCATATAAGCAGATGTTCTAAACAGTCTTCTTAGATCTCTTGCATGCTCCTTGTAGTACATAGGCACCCTACTTGTAAGGTCCCTACTGTAGATCTTTGACCTTACACTTTTGACCTGTTTATCCTTCTTCAGTGCCTCGCTTTTTAAATCATTGCTCCTCTGGCCTGTGCTTTGCAAAAGAATAAGCAAACCTTAGGGCTTGAGACCAGCAGGATTTGCTCAGCAGGGGAACTGAAATCTTAACAGGACACAGATGTTTACTATGTGGGATACAGGGCCAGAAGGAGACAATAAATAAAAGGATAAAAATAAGAGTTCTTCAAAGTTGCTTTCTTTGATTCTTTTAAGAAAAATTGTGGTTGCTTCTTTGGCAAGATAAAAATCCTTTCTTCTTAACATTTCTTGCAAACACATTTTCTTCTTTTAGCACCACTCTTTTTTTTTTTTTTTTGGTGGATAATTTTTTTTGAACTTCTTTTTAATTGAAGTATAGTTGATGTACAATATTTTATGTTACAGGTGTACAATATAGTGATTCACAATTTTTAAAGGTTATACTCCATTTATAGTTATTATAGAATATTGGCTATTTTCCCTGTGTTGTACAATATATCCTTGTAACTTTTATACATAATAGTTTGTACCTCTTAATCTCCTACCTCTATGTTGCCTCTCCCCTCTTCCCTCTATCTGCTGATAATGACCAATTTGTTCTCTATGTCTGAGTCTTGTTTCTTTCTTTGTATTAAACTTAGTGTCACATTTTCTGTTTATTTACCATTTCACTAGAAATTCCTCCATGCAATCATAAAAAAATATGACATTTTAATTGAATTTATTTCACAATTGATAGGGCCTGATATTTGTTTTTTTAATGTGTATGAGACAATAAAATTGGGATTAATGTAATTCCTTTGCCAATACTTTTTTTTTTTTGGCTGTGTTGGGTCTTCGTTGCTGCCCGCAGGCTTTCTCTAGTTGCGACGAGCGGGGGTACTCTTTGTTGCGGTGCGCGGGCTTCTCATTGCAGTGGCTTCTCTTGTTGCGGCACACGGGCTCTAGGTGTGCGGCTTCAGTAGTTGCAGCATGCGGGCTCAGTAGTTGAGCTTTGCTAATACTTGTCAAACAGTTGTCTGTGTAGTGTTTTAAAGTGAAAGGTGACATGAAACTAGTAGACTTCATTATCTCTTGAGAATACACTGTGCTTCTCAATGGGAGCACGATTAGGCAGCTGGGGTATTTTGTGAAGGACTGTCCCACGTGTTACTGGACATTTAACACTCTGGTCCCAGCCCGATAACAGGCCCAGTCATTGCAACAGTCAGAACTTTCTTACCTATCTTCAAATGCCTCCCCTGGAGTGGGTGCTGCTCGGGTTGTGGACTGTCTGGCTATCAGTATTTTCTCCAGACTCTCATTACTGTCTCTCAGCTTAAGGGAGAGAATATTACGACAAATCTCTAGTTAAAATTGAATAAAAATTTCCATTCATAAAAAACAAAACAAAACAAAGCCTTATAATTTCTAACAATAGCTCTTACTCATTAAGCATCTACCATGAGCCTGGCACTGTGCTACATACCTTATGTGCATCTCCTTGTTTCATACTCATTGTAACATGTGACATGAGCGGCAGTATTCTCATTTTACAGATGGATGAGGAAACAATTATTAAATGCATAATATGTGATTAAAATTTATCATCCAATATTTGTTAAGTACATTCTACGTACTAAGCACTGAGATAAATTCATGAACAAGATAGACACATTTTGCCCTCAATGAACTTGCCCTGAGTTTACACAGCTCAATAAGAAGCATGAAGATTTTAACCCAGATCTGTCATTTCTAAAACTGTCTCCTATTTCTACCACTACCTCTACCCCAATTGTCTTCCTGAAGAAGAATTTAGTCAGCCAGAGTCATTGTAACTGATGAACTGTAAATCTATGTAGGTGACAAACAGCACTCGGCAGTAAGCTTTCCGTTCTTTCTCCTCCTTAGGGTTGCTGGGGTCCATGTGAACAGCCCTCTTGAGGATAGTGCAGTGTACAGCCTGCACGGCTGTAAATGAGCAAGAGACATCTCTGCCTGGGATACTTTCCCCTTTCCTATACAATGCTTTCCTGACTAAGGAAGTTGTACCTTGTATTGAGACTCCACTAAAATACCTCCTCTGACCCATAGGTTTTTCATGTTCTAATCAACCAACCTGCCTCTCTCCCTCCCTTCCATCCGTCCTTCCTTCCTTCCTTTCACTCATGCATACGAGTATTTTTGAATGCCCACTACACTGTGATCATAGTGTCAATAAGATAGACAGTCCTATCCTCAAAGATCACACCTCTCAGAACTAGTCTTTCCACTCCCACCTTTATCATCGTGTGTATAACTCATATAGTGCTGCATAGTTTATTAGGTACTAGTGTGCCCTTCAGTACTTTACTATGATGGCATTTGTTTGGAACATTGATTAGAGTAACACTGATGGGCATTCACTTACGTGACTTTCTTATTTTGATTGGCATGATAGCTGCAAGTTTGTATGCCAGTGTATAGGCTGATGTGCAGGGTTTGGTACAAAGGAGAATTGCATAAAATATATTATTTCATTTTCTTACTTTCAAACATTGAGGAGTAGGCTCTAGAGGGCTTTGTTTTTTCAGCTAGTTGCCTATATCAGATGTTCTATGTAACATGCACATATTAGTTATTATGCATATAGTAGAGACAGAGGAAAGGACTCGGCAAACGGGATGGGTCAGAAAGGTTAAAAAAATTTTTTAATTTCTCAAGATAAACTTTTACCCCTAAAACATGTTCCTTGGCTATGTGAAGTCCTTCCCATTTGATTATGAGTCACTGAGGGTAGAGGTCATGTCACTATCCTGTTTATGATGCTTATTCTCCCTTAACCATCTAGTATCACTGCAAGTCACTGTTGGAACTTCACATGGGCTCAGATTGTATTGAATTGACTATGAGAGCAGAAGGTGATTTCATCACCTTCTGAATAATATTGAGAGATCATGGTTCTGGAAAACAGGAAACCTGGATTCTATGTCCCAACTGGAATATCTAGTGTTGTGCCCTCAAATATATCACCCAACCTCACTGGGGCCAGTTTTCTTGAAAAATGAGAAGACTGGATAAGATTGGCTCAAAGTTTCCAAAATCCTGTGATTATTCTGTTACCACTCTAGAGTAAATGCGTAGGGAAATTTACACATTGGGTAAGAAATCTAGGTTGTAGAGTCCTTATTTCCATTTTTAAATATAGGTAGCCTTGATGGGTTTTATTTGAACTTTCTAAAAAGGACTTATATTTCCACTTCAGACTGTCTGCAAATGCTAGGAGCATATGCCTAAGACATTTTGTAGTTAGATATGTGAACATGAAAGTTTTCAAATGACTGTAAACTATTTTTTCTTGTCTTTTTGGAGAGACTCATCTTTTTCCCAAGACCGGCTCCCAATGATGCTCATCAGCTGCTATGATTAGAACTTTTACAGACTCCACAGTCATCAAACCCACACCAGGTCAGTAGGTGTCATTGAATGCCTGCTGAGTGAGAGATTCCATGGAGAATATAAAGCCCCTGCCTTCAAGGTGGCTAGGTTCTAGTAGTAGAGTTAAAATCAATACATAAGTAGCAGTAATAGGAACTTGAACCTGGAGTCTAAGCTTCAACTATTGAGATATAGATAGACCTTCCTCGATTTGTTATGGGCTATATCCCAATAAACCCATCATTAAGTTGAAAATATTGTAGATAGAAAATGAATGTAACCTACTAAAACATCATAGCCCAGCCAACCTTAAACATGCTCAGAACACTTACATTAGCCTACCGTTGGGCAAAATCATCTTAACACAAGCCTATTTTATAATAAAGTATTGAATAGCTCATATAATTTATTAAATACTGAACTGAAAGTGAAAAACAGAATGTTTGGGTCCAGAATGGTTGTAAATGTATGGGTTCTTTACCCTCGTGGTCACATGGCTGAGCTGGGGCTCCCTACTCCTGCCCAGTATCACAAGAGTATCATACTGCATATCACTAGCCCGAGAAAAGGTCAAAATTCAAAAATCGAAGTACGATTTCTACTGACCACATATGACTTGTGCACCATAATAAAGTCAAAAAATCATAGAGTGAACCATTGAAAGTTGGGGACCTTCAGTACTTTAAGGCAGGCCATGAAGGGAGTAGGGGAAACCTTGCCAAGTTCTCTTCAAAACCTTGCCAAGTTCTCTTCAATTACAGATATGCTCTAAAAATTCCTGGTGAAGATTTTTAATTGCATACTTTCTAAAATTCTTGGGCCCTGCCTGTAATTCTATACCAGAGAGCCCTCTTACTCTTGAAATCCAGTGTCTAGGAAGTCTATCCAGGACTGAGAGAACAATGCCAGGACAGATCCTATGACTCTTCACTGTTAATCTGTGCATAACAAGTAAAAAAAAATAGGATGAGGGAGTGAAATTTTAATAAAACTCATTCCTTTTACTTGGAGGATAAGTATGTCCATCCTAGTTGTTTGTGTTAAAAAGTCCTTTTCTGAAATGATGACAGTGGTAGGTGGTTTGTTTGGTTGGCTGGTAGATTGTTATGATTGTCGTTTTAATGTTCCTACTTGGCAAGGTCAAAGTTGATAATCCTTGAATTCCCCAAGTGTAGTAACCACTGCTGTCAGTGCTATGCAGACTTAGCTTATGTCTCCATGGAACTTATCTTCTGCTCTTTCACCCTATCTGAGGAAGTAAAGCCAGTAATACTCTGCTCATTTTATGGTTGAACAAACAGAGTTGGAACCATGTGTTCTACATTTTCTATTAATGTAATACAGGCTTGTCCTGGCATTGATTAAAAATCTGCTCTCCAGACACCTCTGCACATAGTCATTATATGCATAGAGTTATATATGAGGTCACCAGACCTCACATGTCCCTTACACCTTGCAAATATGGGACCAAGTCCTTTCATGCGGTAGGGAGGCATCATTCTCTAAATATTGTGGTTTTAATTAGTAATGGTAAGGGGTTTTTTTAACTGAAAAATGGAGATGTCTATTTTCCTGGCGAAAACTTCTAACATCTTTTGAATATCTTGCTTTGAGGGGACACTTCACACATCAGGTTTTCATTCTCATGCAGTTGTTTTCCATTCCAGGAGGAGCCAACTATTATCCTAAAAGGTCAGTATTTGGTTTCCATGCTTAATCAAGCAATCGAGCTTCATGACAGTTTTTCTATTAAATACAGAGGGGTTTTTTTTGTTGTTGTTAAAACAGATGTCCTTCTGTTGCATCTTAGGTGATTGCCTGGTGTTTCAGAAGACTTAACGCAAGAGCTGGCTACTTCTTCACTTCTTTTTCCAATTATTCCTGCAGGGGCTCTAGCTGAGGCGTGCCTTAGCATGTCTATAAGGGGGAAAAAATGTGAATCTTAAGTAGAGTACAAAAAGTAATTCAGGAGCAATGGAACCGGTTAAAGACCTCTACGCAGTTGTCCTAATGACTCTACATTGTTACTGCTTAGGCTTTGGAGTCCAGAAGGCTGCCTTTGAATCTTGCCTCTGTGATGTAAAACACTGGTTAGGTGCTCACCCAGTCGTATTCGTTCTGTCCTCTTGCTTACAGAACCTTAATTTTGTGTGCGTGAAAATGTGTCTCCTACTTATTTTCGTTTCAAGCTTCACTTCAGCTCAAGGGGCCGTATATGACAGAACCCTGGCCATCTGCTGGGGTTCTGTCACAGCTTTCCTGATAAAAAGAGGACGCTTATGGCTCATACCCTCTTCTGCTCTCTTTCTGCCTTAGACATTGACATGATGTCTGGAAATGCAGCAGCTATCATGTGCTTCTGCAGAAAAGGCTGAAAGAGTCACAGATACCAGCCCCCTGACATTGTTGAAAAGCTAATCCAACATCTGCATTCACCATATTCCAGATTGTCAATTATGTAGAAGAATAAACCGTTATTTGTTTAAGCCATGATATTCATATAGTCCTTTGCTTGAAGTTGAATACATTCCTAACTGCTACAGGAAGTACCATTCTTATCTCAGAGGAAACTGAGGCCCAGATATGTTGAATAATTTGTCTGCTTTACATAGCTAGTCATTGATGGAACTGGAGTTCAGACCCCACAGGCTGAATTTAGAGCCTGAGCTCTTAACCACTTACCTTATGGTTTGCGGAGGAATGAAATGAAATTACTTATATAAAGCATTTTAGCTTAGCATGGTGCCCAGCTTGTAGTACATGCTCATTAAAGTGTTGTGCCCAGCTTGTAGTACATGCTCATTAAAGTGTTAAGACCTTTCCCCAAACCACAGCTCCTTGTTAACGCTTAACAACATAATCCTCAGGTTTAGATTTTGATGAAGTTATTTTCCATTCAGAGAGGAGTCAGCTTTTATCCTGCAAGGTCAGTATTTTGTTTCCATGCTTAACTGAACAATCTAGTTTCATGACTATAGTAGATGCTCAGTAAGTTTGTTGAATGAGTGAATGAATAATTCTTTTTAAGAAAATTCTCAAGTACCACGCTTAGGAGGTTACTGTATACATTTTTGGTATCAGTATAGTACAAAAGTTCAGTGAAAGTTCTAGAAACTAGTCTGTCTCGGTTCAAATCCAGCCTACACCACTGACTGATGAGCTGTGTGACCTTAGGTAAATCACTGAATCTCTCTGTGCCTTAGTTGCTTTATCTGTAAGAAAGGGATAATAATAATCCAAATTGCCTCATAGTAATGTTGTTAGAATTAATTGAAATAATACAATTAAAACAATTTTTGTAAAGCCCTGGTATATGCACTCAACAGATGTTAGCTTTTACAACTATTAATTATTTTTATTAATCTATATGTGCCCTGCCAAAAGTGGCTCCAATTAATTAAGCCATGTTGAAAACAAGATTCTCCTGTAGTAGATGCAGAAATTTAAGTGTGGATTCATGGTGACTTACCCACATTCAAATATAATAGGATCAGAATAAAAACTTGGGAGTCTTAGCTTGGTAGCCAGTTCCTACATGCTTGCTTTCTTTTGTAAAATATAAATTCACGGGCTTCCCTGGTGGCACAGTGGTTGAGAGTCCGCCTGCCGATGCAGGGGACACGGGTTCGTGCCCAGAACCGGGAAGATCCCGCATGCCGCGGAGAGGCTGGGCCCGTGAGCCATGACCACTGAGCCTGCGCGTCCGGAGCCTGTGCTCTGCAACAGGAGAGGCCACAACAGGGAGAGGCCCGCGTGCCGCAAAAAAAAAAAAAAAAAATATATATATATATATATATATATATATATATATATAAATTCACTTTAAGTCTTGGTATTTGCCTTTTAACACTACAAAGAAAAAAAAGTGTACTCTTAACTTGACAAATTATAAAATGTCATTCCCACTTGGTTCCCTCTCCCCATTTCTGTTTTCAGATTTGCATATAAATTTATTTGAGAGGAGTCAAGTCAACTTGATCAGGAAAAAATAGCATCTACCTTACTAGCAATTATCATTACAACTTAAAAATGAAACAGTCAACAACAATGACAACAAAAACTGGCAATTATAATGTTAGCTTACAGAATTCTATTTTTAAAAAGGGGCTAAAACTTCTGGAAAGGTATGAAGAGATCTACAGACCCATTCTTTAGTGAAACAACCATAGCTGGTGAAAATGATAAAAAAACACAACATTTAAAGTCTCTGGAGGGACTTTCCTGGTGGCACAGTGGTTAAGAATCCGCCTGCCAATGCAGGGGACACGGGTTCGAGCCCTGGTCCGGGAAGATCCCACATGCCGCGGAGCAACTAAGCCCGTGCGCCACAACTACTGAGCCTGCGCTCTAGACCCCGCGAGCCACAACTACTGAGGCCCCTGCGCCTAGAGCCCGTGCTCCGCAACGAGAAGCCACCGCAATGAGAAGCCTGCGCACTGCAACAAAGAGTAGCCCCAGCTCGCCACAACTAGAGAAAGCTCGTGCACAGCAATGAAGATCCAATGCAGCCAAAAATAAATAAATAAATTTATTATTTTTTAAAGTCTCTGGAAATTGTCCTAGGAGCATATAGCAAATGGAGAAATATTTATTCGGCAAAATCTATCAAATGTGTAAGACTAGTGAGAATCAGTGGCACTTGAATCATAACCCTCTCCCTCACTCTCTCTCCCCACTAGCTGAGCTTGAAGAAAACTCTAGTCTAGGCAGGTGTGGCCAAAAAGACAGAATTCCCATTCCCTCAGTTCCCATTCAAGGGATGCAGTATTTTACCAGAAGGAACAGGCCAACAACATTTCTAATCCCATCCAACTTCACGTCACAGAGGCTAAGTTCCTGGTAAGTGCATCCACAAATTTGGCTACCTCTGTCTGCCAACCTTTCCTCCCCACTCCCTCCCCCACAGAGTAAAGGGTGGAAGCTTACCCTAAGCATGGCAGTAGGAGAATAATGCAGCACCAATTATTGCCACCCCAGCCAACTCATAGGATGAAGATTCCATGCCAGAAGAGGCAAGCTGAGAAGGCCAGTGGCTACTACCCCTCCCCAGATCTCTGCTCATAAAGCAGAGGTGTCACTCCAAGAGAAGCAGGCCACAGTCACTGTCCAGCACCTGGAACAGTGGTTCAGAGATTTTGCCCAGGGGGGAAGATGCAGCCAATAAGAACAAAGAGCTCTGAGCCTGTCCCTGAAAAGAGTTGACTTTATTTGAAACAGAGTGAGGGGAAGTTCAAGCCTAAAGGCATTCTCTAAAACAATGGAGGCTTGGTGGTAAGAAATTAAGAGAGGCTGGTAGCTCTGAGAGCATCAAGTTAAACCATAGGCCAGGTAGTTTGTTAGAATCAGGAAAAGAGACAGCTTCTAAGAGCCTTCCTGATCTGAGAAAAAAAGCCTCAAAGACTTGCCTCAAACTACCCATGCGTGAATTTAATTAGATAAAACTGAGGAGCAGTTTATGTCCCAGGGCATTGTCAAAAAGAATAGGACAATCTCATGTAATTAGTGGAGCCTAACAGCCAAGTGTGGTACAAAAGAGATAGACAACTAGACAGAGAGATCAGAAGAAAAGAAGGTCAAAGAGAGCCCTGCTAAAACCATTGTCATCCCAGGATGACTGTGTTCATGCCAAGCCTTCACATTATGGGGGGTGGGAAAGGAGAATTAGATTTCATTAAAGCAGTATAGCCAAGCCACTAAACAAATAAATAAGTGCACGCACATGCACACACAAGAAGCCCCAGAAGGAGAGGAGAAAAATCAGTATCCAGAATTGTTGCTATATGTTACCTAAAATGTCCCATTAAAAAAAAAAAAAAAAAGACAAGACATGGAAAGAAACAGGAAAGTATGACCCATACATACAAGAAAAGCAGTCAATATAAACTCTGAGGGGCTAGATCTCAAATGTAATAGACAAAGCCTTCTAAGCAGCCATTATAAATATATTCAAAGAACTAAAGACACTATACTTAAGGAATAAGTGAAGGTATGATGACAATATCTCATCAAAGAATATCAATAAAGAGAAAGAAATTATAAAAAAGAAGCAAATGGAAACTCTGGAGTTGAAAGTATAACTGAAATGAAAAATTCACTAGAGGGACCAACAAGTTTGAAAGAATCAGTGAAGTGGAAGTTAGATGGATAGAGATTTTGCAGTCCAAAGGACAGAAAACAAAAAGGATGAAGAAAAATGAACAGAGCCTCAGAGAAATGTGCAACACCTTTATGCATAAACATGCACATAATGGGAGTACCAGAAGAAGAGGAGAGAAGGGAACAGAAAATAACATCACAAGAAATAATGGCTAGAAACAACACCCCAAATTTGATGAAAGTCAATCTACATATCTCAGAGATTCAATAAATTGTAAGCAGGAAAAACACAAAGAGATCCACAAAGAGACACATCACAGTAAAAATGTTAAAATACAAAGACAAAGAGAAAATTCTGAAAGCAGCAGGAGAAAAAGGACTCATCACATATAAAGGAATCCCTCTAAGACTAATATCTGACTTCTCAGAAACAATGGAGGCAAGAAGGCAGTGGAATGACATATTTGGAGTGTTGAAGAGAAAAACTATCAACCAGTAATCTTACATTCACCAAAGCTATATTTCACAAATGAAGGCAAATAAAGATAGATCTCGATAAAAGCTGAGAGATTTTATTGCTAGCAGACCCACCTTACTAGAAATAATAAAGGGAGTTCTTAAGGCTGAAAGCAAGTGACTGCAGATGGTAATATAAACCCTCATGAAAAAACAACACTGGTAAAAGTAATTGTGTAATTATAAAAGACAATATAAATGCATAGTTCCCCTCCTTCTACTCTTAACTGATCTAAAAAGCAATTGTTGGACCTAAAACATGTAGAAATGTAATACATCTAACATAACAGCACAATGAAAGGTGAGAATAAAGCTGTACTGAAGTAAGGAAATGACACCAGATTATAATTTGAATCCACAAGAGAAAAATGAAGAGAACCAGAAGTGGTATATAAAAATGTTACTATATCAAACTCTATAAATAATATTTTCTTTCATTTCTCAATTTCTTTAATAGACGTAAGATTATATTATGCCACATTTTTAACAATATATTGTTGATTTTGTAATATATAGAGATGTAATATATATAACAACAATAGCATAAAAAAGGGGAATAGGAAATAGATATGTGTAAGAGTAATGTTTCTATATCTCATTGAAATTAAGTTAATATAAATCAACCTAGGTTTTGATAAGTTAAGGTGTATATGGTAAACCCTAGAGCAACCACTAAGAAAATAACTCATAAAAATATAGAGAAAACAATTAAAGGAAATAAAATGTTACACTTAATGCAAAAGAAAGCCATAAAGGAGGAATAAAGAAGGAAAAAAAAGACATGAGACATATAGAAAACACAAAATAAAATGGCAGATGTACATCCAACTATATCAATAACAAAACTAAATGTGAATGCATTAAACAATCCAATCAAAAGGCAGAGATGTCAAACTGGATTAAAAAATAAAAAACAAGATCCAACTATATACTGCCTATAGGAGACACAGTTTAGGTTCAAAGATAGAAATGGGTTGAAAGTAAAAGGATGGATAAAAATATATCCTGCAAAGGATGAAAAAGCTGTAGTCAATTTAAAAAGCTGAGTGGCTATACAAATATTAGGTAAAAAAGATTTTAAAACAAAAGTCTGTTATTAGAGATAGAGAGGGACATTTTATAACGATAAAGGGCTCAATCCATCAGGAAGATATAACAGTTATAACTATATATGTACCTAACAACAGAGCTCCAAGATACATGAAGCAAAAATGGAAAAACTGAAGGGAGAAACAGACAATTCAATGGTAATAGCTGGAGATGTAAATATCCACTCTCAATAATGCATGGAGCCACTAGGCAAAAGATCAGGAAGTAAATAAAAGACTTGAACAGGGGCTTCCCTGGAGGCGCAGTGGTTGAGAGTCCTCCTGCCGATGCAGGGGACACGGGTTCGTGCCCCGGTCCGGGAAGATCCCACATGCCGCGGAGCGGCTGGGCCCGTGAGCCATGGCCACTGAGCCTGGGCGTATGGAGCCTGTGCTCCGCAATGGGAAAGGCCACAACAGTGAGAGGCCCGCGTACCGCAAAATAAAATTTAAAAAAAGACTTGAACAATGCTATAAACCATCTAGATCTAATGGCCATCCTTGGAATACTCCACTCAACAAAAGCAGAATACATATTCTTCTCAAGTGCACATGGAACATTTTCCAGGATAGACCATATGTTCAACCATGAAACAGTCACTGTAAATTTGTAGGGATGGAATTCATACAATGTTTTCTGAACACAGTGAAGTAAAATTAGAAATCAGTAAACACAAAGAAATTTGGAAAAATCACAATTAGGTGGAAATTAACAAACTCCTAAATAACCAAAATTCAGAAAATACTGTGTGTTGAATGAAAATGGAGGCTCACATACCAAAACTTATGGGATACAGCTAAACATTGCTTAGGGGAAAATTTATATCTGTAAATGTCTACATAAAAAAAGAAGAAAGATCTCATATCAATAATCACCTTCTAAACCCAAATCAAGCATAAGGAAGGAATAGTAAAGACTGGAGCATCAATAAATGAAGTGGAAAATAGAAAAACAATAGAGAAAATCAACAAAATTAAAAGTTGGTTCTTTGAAAACATCAACAAATTTAACAAGTCTTTAGCTAGATTGACCAAGGGGGAAAAAACTCAGATTACTAAAATAAACTATAAAGAGGAGATATTACTACCAAGATTCCAGAAATGAAAAGGATTGTGAACATTGAAAACATCATGCCAAATGAAAGAGGCCATTTAAATTAAATGTCCAGAATAGGCACATCTATATATATAAAGAAAGTTGATTAGTGGTTGCCTAGGGCTGGGTTGGGAAGTGGGGGAGATGAGTCACTGTTAATGGGTGCAGGGTTTCCTTTGTAGTGATGAAAATATTCAGAACTGATGGTGATGCTGGTTGCACAATTCTGAATATACTAAAAACTATTGAATCTTACTCTTTAAATGGGTGAAATATATGAATATATTTCAATAAAGCCATTATTAAAAGGGGAGGGGTGATAAGAGAAACATGCCTGTCAGATGGCAAAGACAATTATAAGGAAGAGCTAGAGAAGGCTTTGTCAATACGTGGGATCATAAAGTAGGAGAGGAAGAAGGTTAGTAGTATGCAGGGTGGGAGGCTTTTGTTAGAGAAGACTTGGAATTGGAAATTTCACAAGTATGCATGCAAAGAGTTGAGGAGTGGGAGGGAGAATCATGGATGTTAGGGATTTGAGGAAATGAAAATATTCTCCTACAGTACTTGCAAATGGCACCTGCTTGCAATGCTTTAAGTTGCATGTTTTTCTCTTTGCAAACTGGAAAAATTTATATTTGATTTAATATCTACTTATGTCCCAGAAGGCAAACTTATTTTTTGATGCTGAAACACAGCCAGTTGGAATAATTGGTTGCTTAGGCTCTGTGTTTGCACCAGACCTTGCTTTTCATCTCAAGGAGAGAAACTTCTGGAAATTACTGACCTCAAACCATTTTCATGCAAAAATGAACCAAATTTAAAAAAAAATCCTTTGATGCAATATGAATTTTACAATGATAAATTAAGCCTTGTCTGTCAAAGTATATTCCTATGATTTGATCTTTGTTAAGATGTATTTAAAAGTAAAGGCATTGGCCTGCTAATTGGGAATGATTTTGCTTTAAAAACCTTTCAGCAATTCCATTTTTGAGAATTTTATTCTAATTGAGTCAGCTAAACAGTGATTGTGGTATAATTAGTTACTTTAGTATTGTAGTTTCCACTTCCATATTTAACTGATATGTTCCAAAGAGTAATTTAAACCCTTCATCATGAGGTGGTGATAAAAAAAAATGGTGGGTATGTATTTACAACACCAGGTTTAATATAATCATTACTATATGCTAAGTAGTGAGGTTAAGTGCTGGAGGTATGAAGATATGAAGGTAAATGAGATAGAATAGTCCCTTCTCTGCAAGGAAATTTTCATCTCAAGGGACAGGTTGTCCTAGAAACAAGTAATTTCAATACAATGTGGGAAATATTATGTTGGATGGCAGCCAGGGTGCCCTGTGACAAAGATGAGGGCACTAGGCAGGCAGAGGTGGGCAGGGATAGTGGAAAAGACAGCTTGGTCAGGTGGAGATTTTCAAAGGAGGCAAAATTTCAAAAATACGTGTTTGAGGCAGAAACATACACACTTTCCTTTTCACATCAGAAATTAATCTTTATTAAATAGCAAGTAACATATTAAAACAATTTTTAAAGAAATCATGCCAGTGATGCACGGTTCCGTCAGGAATTTCTTTCTTTCTTTTTACTGTAAATCTTATTTTTATTTTTTTTTTTTTTTTTTTTTGAAGTTGAGGAGTTTATTAGGGAAATATGAGAGATAAAGACACCCCAAGTGAGAGAAAGAAAACTCTGAAAATGTCCCTTTTCAAGCCAAGTGGGGGCCTGGGCTTGACCTCCCCAAAAGGACAAGAAACTGGTGGGTTAGCAACAACATTCTCTGGCAGCCACCTCGCCAGGGCACCACAGCCAGGACTGCTTCTGACCCCCGGCCAAAGGTGGGGAGGAGGCAAAGACCGTTTATAGAATCAATGCAGAGGCAATGAGAACTGCAAGGAAAGGCTGAGAGAGATAGAGAGACAGAGAGAGGTGGGGAGGACCTTGACAGAGTCCCACCTTCTGGCTCTTAGCGCCTCAAATATGTTGACAAGTAGTTCTACAAAGTGTCACTGAAGAAGTAAAATGCCTAATGTTGTTTCTGAGAGTTCCCCTGGCTCCTCCCCACACGCCACATCACACTGCTGGGTGTACATGGCAGAGCCCAAAGGCCACATTTTTGAAAAAAAGGAAAACAAGAATAAGCCCTGTTGCTCTTTAAGGAGAGAGGAAGGAGCTGAAGGCTGCTGGGGCCTTTCCCACGAGGGTCTGCGTTCTGTAAAAGCAACTTCCCAGCAGCAGCATGGCACAGTTCTAGGTGAGGGTCTCACCTTTTGTCACCCTTGCTTCAATGTACTCTATTCTCCGCTCAAGAGCTGTCAATTTCTCGTTTAGTGTTGCGAGTCTTGAACGACAAGACATATCGAACGAGTTGAGAAAGTCTGCGATTTTCTTGATGCTGCTGGTGATGACCTCAATGTACTCCCGGTTCGCCCAGTCCTGGTGAATCTCCCGCTGCACCGGATCCTCTTGCCCCGCCATGGCTGCCTGTAAATCTTATTTTTATTTTTTAAATTAATTTTTATTGGAGTATAGTTGATTTACAATGTTTTGTTAGTTTCTGCTGTACATCAAAGTGAATCAGTTATACATATATCCACTCTTTTTTAGATTCCATTCCCATATAGGTCATTACAGAGTATGAAATAGAGTTCCCTGTGCTATATACAGTACGTTCTTATTAGTTATCTATTTTACATACAGTAGTGTGTGTATGGAAGGTACACCATCTGCTTTCCTGGGTCTCCAGATCTTGGACTTCTCAGCCTCCATAACCACATGTGCCAGTTCCTTAGAATAGATCTCTTTTTGGCATGGGAAGGAGCAGTAAGAAGGCCAAGAGGTTTAGAGCAGTGGTTCTCAAACATTTTGGTCCAGGACCCTGTTGTGCTCCTAAAAATTACTGAGGATCCCCAAGAACTTTGCTTATATGGATTCTAGCTATATTTGTCATATTAGAAGTTAAAATTGAGGAAATTTAAAAATACTTACTGATTCATTTAAAATTATAATAATAAACATAACACATGTTAATATAAGTAATATTTTTATAAAAAATAACTATTTTCCAAAACAAAAAATTTTAATGAGAACGGTAGCATTGTTCTGCATTTTTTGCAGATCTCTTCAGTGTCTGGCTTGCTAGAGGACAGCTGAATTGTCATAGCTGCTTCTGCATCCAATAAGTTGTAGTGTGTTGTTTTGGTTTTAGTATATGAAAATAATCTGGCCTCACACAGATACGTGGTTGGAAAATGGAAGGTATTATAATAGCCTTTTCAGATATTTGTGGTTATTCTCTTTTGATAGTGCATCAAAACTCAACAAGTGGGCTTCCCTGGTGGTGCAGTGGTTGAGAGTCCGCCTGCCGATGCAGGGGACACAGGTTCGTGCCCCGGTCCGGGAAGATCCCACATGCCGCGGAGCGGCTAGGCCGGTGAGCCATGGCCACTGAGCCTGTGCGTCCGGAGCCTGTGCTCTGCAACGGGAGAGGCCACAACAGTGAGAGGCCCGCGTACCACAAAAAAAAAAAAAAAAAAACTCAACAAGTGATAGTCTTTCACAGGGTAGTTGCAAAGTGGGATCTGAGACCGTATCAACAAAATATTTGTTCTCTGGGGACACAGACATGAGAAAATAGACATGAAAGCAACATCTTAGTATTAGGATAAAAGAAATCTTGATCTCCAGACCCCAAAAAGGGTGTCAGGGTGTACGTTTTGAGAACCATTGCTTTAGAGCATAGTAATTGAGGAAATAGTGGGTGAAGGTGTCCTCAGAGAGTCCATGTAGGAACTTGCAGGTTGTGAGGAGGACTTGGAAATTTATTCTGAGTAAAATTTGAAGTCATCGTAGGGTCTTGAGCAGAGAAATAAGTTGGTCTAACATCTCAGAAGTTCACTCTCTGTGTTTGTGGAGCACAGACTACAGAGGATGAGGGTGAAGCAGAGAGGTCAGCTAGGAGGCAGTTGCAATCATCCAGGTGAGAGATGACGGTGGCTTGGACACAGAGGACATCTTGGAATATCTCTGGAATAACAGAAATGGAAGCCTATCTTTACCTAATGTCATTTTGCCACTGTGTGAAAGTTGATTAAATGAATTTAAGCAGAAGCCTCTATTTTCCTTTGTGATACTTCTGATCATCTACAAAGGCTCTTGATGCCTCAAGGAATCAAAGTGTGTCAGAGCATAAAAGAACCTTGAGGAGCATCTTTGTCAGTGATTTCTAAATTATTCTCTAAGGAGTCACGGGATCTCTCTGAAGATTCCATGTCAGTAATTATAGAAATTAAAGGAAACCAGTAGGGTAGCACTAGGCTCCCCCATCTCTGCTTCGGCCTGAGCAACTTCACTTTTACCTGTTTTATTAATAGAGTCTTTAAAAGTCGTTTGTCCAGGGAAAGCATTCTGTGGCTAACAAGTGTCTGTGAATCAGTTGGGCCCTCTGCTCAGTCAAGGTGCAGCCTCAGAGTTCTTCTCAACGAAGTATTCCACTTATCTATGAATAACAGGTCAGAACTGGCACTTTAGGTGGACAATGTTTGCCATTCCTCATGTAAGTCCAAACTTGGTGTCTTATCACACAGCCATCAGTAAATTTCAATGCCTCTCACTGACTTTACTAGTTTCTACTTTGCACCCACCCTGCGCTCATGGCTGTGTAACTGTCATCCACATAGAGATCACAGAATGGTCAAGCTAAAAGAGTATTTATAGAGTGTTTAGGGGTTGAAAACTCAAATGCCTTCAGAGGACAAGTGGACAGCAGGCAAAGAGTAGAGACCAAGTGGGAAGATGAGCCCAGAGTGTGGATGTCTTGACTAAAAGGCAGTCAAATTCAGAATTTTTAAAAATTCCGGCAAACAATGACAATTAGTCAACAAAACAAATAAAAACATTCCACAATGCCTTATGGGCTTTTTTCCCCCTCTGGAATCTCAAATTGGTTCAACTTGCTCGTTTTTCGGAGGAGTCTTTTCTTTTTATATAAATTTATTTTATTTTATTTATTTATTTTTGGCTGCATTGGGTCTTCATTGCTGCATGCGTGCTTTCTCTAGTTGTGGCGAGCAGTGGCTACTCTTCGTTGCAGTGCGTGGGCTTCTCATTTCGGTGGCTTCTCTTGTTGCGGAGCACAGGCTCTAGGTGCGTGGGCTTCAGTATTTGTGGCACGTGGGCTCAGTAGTTGTGGCTCGTGGGCTCCAGAGCACAGGGTCAGTAGTTGTGGCGCACGGGCTTAGTTGCTCCGCGGCATGTGGGATCTTCCCGGACCAGGGCTCGAACCCGTGTCCCCTGCATTGGCAGGTGGATTCTTAACCCCTGCACCAGCAGGGAAGTCCCTCGGAGGAGTCTTATAAAGGTGCCATGACATGAGCGATTGTGTAGTTTGGGGACTTACAGCTTGGATTTTAGAGTCAGACTGACCTGGTTCGTATCCTAGGACCACTGTTTGCTAGATGTGTTATCCTGGAAATAATGACTTCCACAAGCCTTCATTTCCTCATCCTCACATCCACAGAAAGCACATGGTCCAGGGCCAGGCACAGTAAGTGCTCAGTAGAGTCCCACACAACTAGTCTCGTGCAAAGCTGGAAGATTCCCCATCATCCTGCGATTTTACTTTGAGGAAGTCTATGATTGACTTCTGGTCTCTGAGTGCGCATGCTCACGTGTGTGTGTGGACATGGCTGCTAAGACATAGCAAAGAAGAGGATTGGAAAAAGAGGAGACCTGGGCAAGGGGACGAATTAAGGGATAGTTTGTGGCACGACACAAGCTTCTCTCAGCCTGATGTTGTTTCTCGGGAGCATCTGTTTTGCCTTAAGCATGGGGTCCCTTTAGGGGATGTTTTTAAAGGAAGTTGATCTTTTCCTCAGGTTTTTCCCAGCTCTGCCATGTGGTTCCGCAGAGGCCAGTGGCATCCAGAGTTTGTGCACAGGCAGCACTGCCTCCTGGGAGCACCAATTTACTGAGAATGAATATGGACTGCTGAATGGCTGTCAGGAGGGAACAATTTTCCGTCAGTTCAAATCTAGAACAGATGCCCTGGAATTAAAAAGTCATCCTGTCTCTGGTTGAATAGAGAATGAAGTTTGCAAATGCGGTTTTAAGCATGTTGCTTGGATGGGCTTTATGTTGCAGTATACCCTTCTCTAGAGTGTTAAACACTTTATGAATATCTGTTGGCTCTTTGGGTACAGTATGGTTTTGATTAAATTAGATTCACATTTCTGGAGAAATGTCCCTGACATATCCATGTAGTGTAGGTTTTCGGTACTTAAAAAGAAATGCTTTTTTAGAGGGTCCACTCCATCGATTCAGGACCTTGAGACTTGCAAGTTAATTTCTTGTAATTAAATCATTTATAATGTGCTTAAAGGGGAGAGGCAGCATGGTATAACGGTAAGAGTATGGGCATCAAAGTCAGGAGGACAAATCCCAGCTCTCTGCCTTCTTTCTAGGTGTCTGACTTCATCAAGTCACTTACATCTCTCTGAACCTCTCTTTCTTCATCCCTTAAATGGGCATAATAACATCTCCTACTCAGGACAGGGCTGTTAGGAGATTCAAACTGCATAATGTTGAGTACTCAGCTCAGTGTCTGGGAATTAGTGGGTGCTTCTGAACACCAGATCAACACCCTCTACTATCTTAACAGCCTTGATGAGCAAAAATAATGAATCACATCTGTACAGTCTGAATTAGCACATCATGCATTTAGGTGTCTTTAGTTCAGGGGGAGCAATCTTCAGTAGTTTTCTTATCATACGGCAAGTTCTGGGAGGCAAGTCGAGCAGAGAACTGAGGATGACATCTTTTTCCCTTTCCTGGGCTTTCCAATGATCACTGATGTTCTGCATTGGAAAAGTGTAAAATAAAAAAACAACCGCAAAGGAAAGCAATAACTGATGATGCCAAACAAATCAGGCTTGATTCACAGTTCTAGTAGATAGATCGTGAGATGGGAGGCAACTACAGTGTGGGCTTAAGTCTCCTGAGAAAATTTGAGAGTTAAGAAAGGAAAGTTTGAGAGCCCCAGAGAGATAGGTAGAAAGGCCAAAGGACCAGGCATAGTGGCTTCCTCAGGGTTCCCGGAACCCAGACTGCCCTGGAGAAGCACCATCCCCGGGCTCTACCGAGAGGCGTGAGCATGGGTGTTCTGTGTTCATCCATTCTGCTTGACGGAGCTGCACCTGCAGTGATTTCTGAGCGGTACCTCCGTAACTCCTGAGCTCAGCCCCCAATTTTATCCCTCCCTCACCTGCTGAAATGCTCATAATTGCCTTTCACGTGAAGGTGTTTTTCTAAACCAACCACCCTTTTTTCTCTCATTAAAATAAAAAAGAAAAATCTTTTCAGGAGAGTTTTCCAGTTATTACCTACTTTGCTGTGTGTCAGATGGGTGTTTTCCAGTGAGACAGCTTGCCGAGGGTGGGGCTGAGAACACAGGGCTTGTGATTTTGAAAGAGGAGGATGTGG